CACATGACCAAGTGCGAGATAAGAAATACGTGGTTATCCCATACTAAGATGTGCTCGTGAATATACAGATTTTTGAGCAATGGCGTAATTAATTTTTCACGAATACGTTAGATGTCTGAGTAGCGATCAGATGTTGCTAAAACCATTGTCATGTTCTCTAAAATCTTTGTCAGAGAACATAAATGTAAAACTATTTTAAGTAATTCTGTTCTAACTTAACCCTCAAATTGCTAGCTTATTTATATGCCGTTCAATACCCGTGAGGTCATCAGATTACATCATACTGAGTAATAATATATTTTTGTTTGTTAAAAGAATGAATAAAACATATATATTTATGCTTTTACTATGTAAAAAAAACTTAAAGGGCCCCTTCAGTTTGTTTGTTTGTTTAAAATTAAGCACAAAGCTACACAATGGGCTATCTGTGCTTTGCCCACCATGGGTATCGAAACCCGGTTTCTAGCGTTGTAAATCCGCAGACATACTAATGTGCCACTGGGTGGCAGGCCCCTTCAGTAAGTAGTAGAATTAATTTCAATTTTGATTATATCTTTATTTACTTATTTATGTAATTCTTATTATATTACAGACTCTGTAATCGATAAAAATCATTGACTCAAAAGCAGTTTGGTGCAAAAATAATTTACAGACATTTGTTAAAAGGTAATTCTACGGTTAAAAGTTTTTTTTCTGGGGGGGGTGGATAGGATCGCTTTAAATTACTATTTTGTTGCTTCATTATTTATGCGGAATAAATATAATTTTAGTGAAATTAAATGAAAATTTTATAAAGTGGACAGTTTTATCAGTATACAATAAGTTATTATTGTATCGGTTTAAAATTTTGTATGACGAGCTTTGGAATAGTAGTGTATTTGATTGTGTTTCAAACATATAACACATTACGTTGTTTTAAAACACCCGTGTTTCTTGCTTTAGTTTAGCTAATGCTCGTGATATGCTCTTTGTTTTGATGTTTAACGTATAGCTAATACATGAATATGCACTTTGCTTAAGTGCTTGAGATATAGCTAACACACAGGTATCCACCTTGTTTAGATGTTTAGGTATACAATAACTAATACACGGATATGCATTTTGTTTAATTGTTTGAAACATAACTAATACACGGGTATGCACTTTGTTTAGATGTTTAAGGTATAGCTAATACACGGGCACGAACTTTGGTTAAGTGTTTGAGATATAGCTAATCATGCACTTTGCTCTCCCTCGGTGGGACAATAGTAAGTTTACGGACTTACAACGATAAAATCCGGGGTTCGAATCCCCGCGGTGGGCCCAGTAGATAGCTCAATGTTGCTTTGTTCTAACATAAACAAATAATTCAGTTTGCTTAAGTGTTTAAGGTATAGCTAATACACGGGTATGCGCTTTGTTTACATGTTTAAGGTATAGCTAATACACGGGTATGCGCTTTGTTTAGATGTTTGACGTTTAGCTAATACTCAAGTTAGGCAAGACCTAAGCCATTCCTTGATTCTTAACTGTGAACGAAAGTTACTAGCGCAGAAAAATGCTAAATAATAATAATAATAACAACCTTTGATTCATGACTGAGTCATCAGGTCTCTTGTAAATTAAACAGTTATCTATTACAATAAATTCTATATCAAATTTCATTAAAAAGAAAAAATCCTTATCATCGTATTTATCTTCAAGTTTGTTATATAGTTTGATCTAGTGATTTTTGATATTTTCAACCTTATGTGACATGGGCTAAATGGTGACGTCAGATATTTTAATACTGAGGTATGGCCATTTCTAACTTAAAACTACTGACTAGAAGGATGGAAACCACCAGTCAACAGCATCAACACTCCTACGTGATCACTTTTGACCGGATAACGTGACGTTTATAATCTCCTCACAAATGAAAGTACGGAGCGTGTTCAGTGGCATATCGCGGCACGAACCCCGAGCTTTCCGATCCGCATCCCAGCACGCTAACCACTAGGCGACGCTAGACCTAGACACAGTCATTGTATGTACATTATATATAGGATGCCCGGAAATTGTGTTATAATACTGTTTGCTTGTATTTCAGAAAGAGAAGAAATGAACATCTCCAAGGGAGGTGCGTTGTAGAAAACGTAGAATATCATGACCCCGTAGGAGTTTCAACACGTTCAAAAGCACGTGTAATATATTTTTAACATAATTTCTGGACACTCTATAACTTAAAAACCCTTAAACTTTAATATAAAGTTTAACATTTATGTGCTAACAATGATATAACAAAAATCTTAATGCCAAAAAAAAAAAACAGCAACTCATATTTCTCGAGTGAATCGTTAAACATGTTTAACATGTATCACATCAAGTAAACATGAAAATACTATTAATTTATAAAATGTCATTAGATGGGACTAAACTAGCGAAACGTTGTGCTCTCCAATTTGCTCACTTAAAAAGTACATTTTTATAAATATTATAATGTTCATTTCTTTATTGCTGAAGTAGAATTAGAAACAAAAGTTTGTTGGAACACGATTGCAAGTCTGAGAATTTCTTCAAGTAAACTTGATATGAAAATACGTATTTAAGTGTTTAAAAGAAAGTAGCGTAAAAGTAAAGTACTGATAACCGACAACTTTTGTGTATATTGTTCATATTAAAGGTACTAATAGCGCCCCAAATACATTTCCACGTAACAATGATTAAATTAGCATAAAAACAGTTATTTATAGTCCTATAGTAACTCTCTGCATCGTTCCTTTAAGAAAGTACAACAGAATTAAAATAATACGTTGTAAAAACAAGTTTTAGTAGTAGGTTTAAAAAATAATGTTTACCTAGCATATCTTCAGTAAATAATGTGTTAACGCAGTTGAATTATTATGGCATGATACACTATTTCTTAAGTTGGAATTTGTTTTTGTTTTTGAATATTTGTAAACAAAAAAAAACGGTTAACCGAGTAAGTTAAAAATCATAACACCAAAAAACACCAAATTAGAATTCTTTCTATCACTAAGCATCATTTAATAGAATATAATAATTTCTTACTAGATGTTTTAATAGACCGTGATATATAAATAGGCTGTATTAAAACGTTTCATACATCCTAATTATTCGAGTTATACATTAAATACAACTCTTTAGCTGCCCTTAATTCATCATTCTCATTCAAGTCTAAATTCCTCTTTTATCACCATTCATATCGCGATTCATTTAACGATTG